TACATAAGTACATACATACATACATACATGCATACATAAGTACATACATACATACATACATGCATACATACATACACAAGTACATACATACATACATACAAACATACATACATGCATACATACATACATACATACATACAAACATACATACATACATGCATACATACATACATACATACATACATACATACATACATACATACATACATGCATATATCCTGTCAATAAATTGACCATCTACTTATATTTATTGTGCATATTTAAAACGTAATGCAGTGCTGGTTTATCACCTTGAGTGGTATTCTATTCTGCTCTAAGCGTCTGCGCTGCGCGGCCTTCACCACCCCGAACAGCACATCAGTGTGTACAGTTCTCTCGTGAGCCTCGTCCAGGATCACCACAGTATACCGCAGTAACAGTGGATCTCCAATGGCCTCGCGCAGCAGCATCCCGTCCGTCATGAACTTCAGCTTGGTCTCTGGTGATGTGACATCCTCGAAGCGCACCGTGTAGCCCACCTAAAACCAGAAACACTCATGAATCATTCAGATGATGCAGACCGAGTAGCGGGGTTTCAGATTTGGTTTGTATAACATGAAAAATAAAACAATGAACAATGAATGGACAATGAGACTAAAACGTCTGGTTATAGACTACAATAATAATTCATTAGTATGGTGTAGGGCAGGGGGGGCTCAAACTCGGTCCTGAAAGACCGGTGTCCAGCTAAATTTAGCTCCAACCCCAATCAGACACACCTGGGCTAGCTAATCAAGCTCTTACTAGGCTTTCTAGAAACATCCTCACAGGTGTGTTGAAGCAACATGGAGCTAAAATCTGCAGGACACCGGCCCTCCAGGAATGAGTTTGGACACCCCTGGTGTAGGGCCTCCCCAATACAACATGAGATGGTCTTGGGAATGACAGACACCAGTCCTGCACAGCGGCCAGAGGGATTCTTCTTCAGAATAGTGTTCAGGTCACTACATGATGCTGCTGGAGGAAAACCTTTCCTGATTCGCTCCTCCAAAACACCCCAAAGTGCTTAATAATGTTTGGTTCTGAGTACTGTGCAGGCCATGGGAGATGTTCATGTTCATAAAATCACTCTGTCACCAGTCTTGCTGTGTGTTTTGCTGCATTGTCATCCTGATACACGCCACCACCTTCAGGATATAATGTTTGACCCACTGGGTGCTCAATGGTCCTCCTGAATGGTTCAGTCATCCTTGGCAGTTACCCAGCACCCATCAAGCACCAGTATTGGGCCTAGGGAATGCCATGATATCCACAGCCATATCATCCTGCAGCCCAAGACTGGTTACTCACTGAAGCTAAGCAGGGCTGAGCCTGGTCAGTAGTGTGTCCAACACTGGAAGTGGTGTTATTGAGACATGTAGTCTGTGTGAGTCCTAATGCCCCAGTAAAAGTGAAGGGAACACTACACTGTCAGTGGGCGTTTTCTTTCAAGCAGGCCCGGCGCCAGGATATCAGAACTGAAGGGGCATTTTAAATCCATAGGGGGGCACTAGACCTGGTGGCTGATTTTGGTCTCTCTTCCTTTCATTTAGGCTATTTATTCACATTTATTATTACTTTACTTTGTTACTGATCTAAGTTTTAATAGTAATATTAATATGCACAGTTTCACTATTACTGATTTTATTAATGATGGTAATGCAACGATACCGCTTATTAATGCAGACGGATCATGGCTTCAGTGCCAAACATGTGCTTTAATTCATGTTATTCTCCTTATTTATTTCACTTTTATTTCAAATAGCAGGCATATGAATGTTTAAAGTTTAGGTAAAGATGTCAAATTATGCCCACACATGCAAGCTGACCCACGATCAGACTATTAGTATAACCGGTAAATAAATATAGTAAAATCAGCTTTACCGAGTCATTACGCTTTACGTAGCCTGTTATCCAACCAACATCAGTGTTAGGGAAAAGCTAAATGTTAATCTATTGTCATTTAAAACAATTACTTCGTTACATTTTAAGGCATTAGTGTAGCCAGAAAAATACTTTAAAAAGATGCCTAAATTCACAGTTATTAAAGTGAAAATTTGTTTGGCACGGATAACACAACTCAATAGGCTATAAAACTTTTTTCATCATTTTAAATGTGAAAATAAAGATTTATCTTAGGCTATCATAAGTGTGTTTTTTTTCGTGATATTGTCTGCTTGTCATTCGTAAACCATCATAAACCATTAGGTTACTAGGCCTACCGGTCATTTTATTTATTAATTTATAATAAATTTAATTTTTTAGTTATTTAAATTTTAATAACTTGTTTTCAGGTTATTTTTATTTTAGGGCCATGAGCTACAAGTCAAAACAAATTCGATATGCTGTAGGTTTATAATATAGTTAATGTTAAATCGAGGTCCTGACTCTCTGTGGTCTCGAAAAGAGTAGAGTGTAACCCCGGTGTCCTGGCCAAAGTCCCTCTATCGGCCCTTGTGATCATGACCTCCCAATCATCCCCTTCCACCAATTTGGCTCTATCACTGTCTCTCCACTCCACTAATAGCTGGTGTGTGGTGAAGCACTGGCGCCGTTGTCCTGTGGCTGCTGTCGCATCATCCAAGTGGATGCTGCACACTGGTGGTGGTGTGGAGAGACCCCCCTCATGATTGTAAAGTGCTTTGGGTGTATGGCCATACACAATAAATGCGCTATATAAATACACATTACATTACATTACATGATACTGAGCCCAAACCATCACTGATCCACCCCCATGCTTCACTCTGGGCATCAGCAGTCTGAGTGCTTCTTTGGGGCTTCTCCACACCGTAACTCTCTCAGATGTGGGAAAGACAGTGAAGGTGGAGTAATCAGAGAACAATACATGTTTCACATTGTCCACAGCCCAAGATTTTCACTACTGGCACCATTGAAACTGAGACACAATTAGTTAATTATCTTAATGGTTCAAAGATTGACTAATATTAACAAAGTAACTGTGATAAAGCAGTTTTTTTTTTCTTACTAATAATTTTAATGCATTAACTAACATTCGCTAATGAGACTTTATAGTATTTTAAGTGTTTATAATCCTTTTGTAATTGAAATATTTGTTACTCTGAACATGTATATACAATAAGCAATACACATTAATATACCAGTGATGCTGCGTTCACACCAGATGCGAAACGCGTGTCAAGCGCAAGTGATTTACATGTTAATTCAATTCAAATATTCGTGCGAATAGCGCGATATGCGCAAATAGCGCGATATGCGCGAATGGCGGGGGGGCGAATTGAGCATTTTGCGCGTTTGACGCGCTTATAACGTGCGTTTCGCCGCGTTAACCAATCAGAGGCTTGCTCTTGTAGGGGCGTGATTGTGACGTAGAACCTGTTGATGGTGTCCCGGGGGAAATCGTCCAGGCGACACCGACAACAAGTCATCAAACTGGGCTGGGCTCAGTCAGAAGCACCGCTGAAAGCCTCCGTCATCCAGGTTCAGTTCTGGAGGAGTTTATGAGCTCACACAGCTGGATGAACCTCTGAAGGCATGTAGTGGACTCAGACACGACCCTAAACGTATCGATGCTGTTTTTCAGCCTTCATAAAGCACATAAACACTGATATTTTCTTCACAAAATCATGTTAGCCATTTAGCAACGAAGCTACAGTCACCGGGCAGACAGAGGCCCTGCCCATCACGCGAATCCGCGTCTGTTCTGAAGTGAATTTGAAACACGAATGAAGCGGATTTCACGACGAATGAAGCGGGGTTTGACACGCGAATGAAGCGAGTAAACTCAAATGTTCACGCGGCTATTTACGCGCGAATATCACGATTTATCCGCGCGTTCCGCGTCTGGTGTGAACACAGCATTAAAGGGGACCTATTGTGCAAAAATCACTAATATAAGGGGTTTAAACACACTTGTGTGTCAACAGTGTGTGAATACAATCAGCTTTAATGGTAGAAATGTATTAATTGTATTGTTTATAATCAGACTTGATGAAGACAGTCTGCAGAAACACTTTGATTGACAATTTGTATGTGTCATCAGAGGGGGAAAGCCCCGCCCACTAGTGCCCATCTCTCCCTCATTGGCATAGGACGTTAGTCTTGTTTTCGAATCTGCCACTATGCTGACACGCAAGTATTTTTAGCTCCGCCCCCTTTTAAAAAGAGAACAATCTCATTTGAATTTAAAGCGACAGTCACCAAAACACCAAAATTAGGATCAAAACCTAAAAGGGTCAGTTTCGGAGAGATAAAAACAAAATTCATGTCTTATCTTGAGCTGAAACTTCACTACACACTCTAGGAATATCAAAGACTTGTTAAAATGAACATAACGCCCCATTCACTCGGGGCTTCAGCGTCAACGCTTGACTGAAGGCATGTCTGAAGTTGGGGCTGACGCAATCATCATAGCAGCATCAGCCAATGAAATTCAGTCAGCAATAGGCCACTGTCCAGCTGATGTATTTGCATACAGCGATCTGATTGGCTGACGCTTCCATAGCTGCTTGAAAAGTTGAGCAATCCCGACTTCTGCAGCGAGCAACGCCTCTGAAGCGGCACAAACGGATCCACAATACAGTTCGGCAATGCCTGATGTCACCCATTCAACGTGACTAGGAAGCGTCGAAGCTGACGCCTCGTGTGAATGGAGCGTAATAGGTCCTGTTTAAAGTAACTTATTTTTGTAGCTGTGTTTAAATACCGTATACTATAATAAAAGCTTCATCGTTTAACTACAAGAGAATTTGAAACAGTCATAAGCCTATTGAAATGTCAGTGTTTCCAGCATCATTCAGCGCTAGTGTAATGAGTAATAAACACACCAGTTTCCCCAGCTGCACTTTCTTCTCTTCAGCCACTCGACCGGCCAGTGATATGGCAGCGACCCGGCGGGGCTGAGTGATGGCGATGATGCCCTGCCGGCCGATGCCCGCCTCATACAGGTACTGCGGGATCTGAGTGGTTTTACCGGAGCCTGTCTCACCTGAAACAACACAACATATACAGCTGAAGTCAGAATTATTAGCCCCCTGAATTATTCGCCCCCCTATTTATTTTCTCCCCAATTTCTGTTTAACGGAGAGCAGATTTTTCCAACACATTTCTAATCATAATAGTTTTAATAACTCATCTCTAATAACAGATTTATTTTATCGTTGCCATGATGACAGTAAATAATATTAGACTTGATATTCTTCAAGACACTTCTATACAGCTTAAAGTGACATTTAAAGGCTTAAACTAGGTTAATTAGGGTAAAGTTAGGGTAATTAGGCAAGTTACTGTATAACAGTGGTTTGTTCTGATCACCATCTATACTATAGTAAAGTGTATTATACTGTATATATTACACTGTGGAGCTGTCTGATCACCATCCATACTATAGTAAAGTGTATTATACTGTATATATTACACTGTGGAGCTGTCTGATCACCATCCATACCATAGTAAAGTGTATTATACTGTATATATGACACTGCTGAGCTGTCTGATCACCATCATACTATAGTAAAGTGTATTATACTGTATATATTACACTGTGGAGCTGTCTGATCACCATTATACTATAGTAAAGTGTATTATACTGTATATATTACACTGCTGAGCTGTCTGATCACCATCATACTATAGTAAAGTGTATTATACTGTATATATTACACTGTGGAGCTGTCTGATCACCATCATACTATAGTAAAGTGTATTATACTGTATATATTACACTGCTGAGCTGTCTGATCACCATCATACTATAGTAAAGTGTATTATACTGTATATATTACACTGTGGAGCTGTCTGATCATTATTATACTATAGTAAAGTGTATTATACTGTATATATTACACTGTGGAGCTGTCTGATCACCATCATACTATAGTAAAGTGTATTATACTGTATATATTACACTGCTGAGCTGTCTGATCACCATCATACTATAGTAAAGTGTATTATACTGTATATATTACACTGTGGAGCTGTCTGATCACCATCATACTATAGTAAAGTGTATTATACTGTATATATTACACTGTGGAGCTGTCTGATCATTATTATACTATAGTAAAGTGTATTATACTGTATATATTACACTGTGGAGCTGTCTGATCAACATCATACTATAGTAAAGTGTATTATACTGTATATATTACACTGTGGAGCTGTCTGATCATTATTATACTATAGTAAAGTGTATTATACTGTATATATTACACTGTGGAGCTGTCTGATCACCATCATACTATAGTAAAGTGTATTATACTGTATATATTACACTGTGGAGCTGTCTGATCATTATTATACTATAGTAAAGTGTATTATACTGTATATATTACACTGTGGAGCTGTCTGATCACCATCATACTATAGTAAAGTGTATTATACTGTATATATTACACTGCTGAGCTGTCTGATCACCATCATACTATAGTAAAGTGTATTATACTGTATATATTACACTGTGGAGCTGTCTGATCACCATCATACTATAGTAAAGTGTATTATACTGTATATATTACACTGCTGAGCTGTCTGATCACCATCATACTATAGTAAAGTGTATTATACTGTATATATTACACTGTGGAGCTGTCTGATCAACATCATACTATAGTAAAGTGTATTATACTGTATATATTACACTGTGGAGCTGTCTGATCATTATTATACTATAGTAAAGTGTATTATACTGTATATATTACACTGTGGAGCTGTCTGATCACCATCATACTATAGTAAAGTGTATTATACTGTATATATTACACTGTGGAGCTGTCTGATCATTATTATACTATAGTAAAGTGTATTATACTGTATATATTACACTGTGGAGCTGTCTGATCACCATCATACTATAGTAAAGTGTATTATACTGTATATATTACACTGCTGAGCTGTCTGATCACCATCATACTATAGTAAAGTGTATTATACTCTATATATTACACTGTGGAGCTGTCTGATCACCATCATACTATAGTAAAGTGTATTATACTGTATATATTACACTGTGGAGCTGTCTGATCATTATTATACTATAGTAAAGTGTATTATACTGTATATATTACACTGCTGAGCTGTCTGATCACCATCATACTATAGTAAAGTGTATTATACTGTATATATTACACTGTGGAGCTGTCTGATCACCATCCATACTATAGTAAAGTGTATTATACTGTATATATTACACTGTGGAGCTGTCTGATCACCATCCATACTATAGTAAAGTGTATTATACTGTATATATTACACTGTGGAGCTGTCTGATCATTATTATACTATAGTAAAGTGTATTATACTGTATATATTACACTGCTGAGCTGTCTGATCACCATCATACTATAGTAAAGTGTATTATACTGTATATATTACACTGTGGAGCTGTCTGATCATTATTATACTATAGTAAAGTGTATTATACTGTATATATTACACTGCTGAGCTGTCTGATCACCATCATACTATAGTAAAGTGTATTATACTGTATATATTACACTGTGGAGCTGTCTGATCACCATCATACTATAGTAAAGTGTATTATACTGTATATATTACACTGTGGAGCTGTCTGATCATTATTATACTATAGTAAAGTGTATTATACTGTATATATTACACTGCTGAGCTGTCTGATCACCATCATACTATAGTAAAGTGTATTATACTGTATATATTACACTGTGGAGCTGTCTGATCATTATTATACTATAGTAAAGTGTATTATACTGTATATATTACACTGCTGAGCTGTCTGATCACCATCATACTATAGTAAAGTGTATTATACTGTATATATTACACTGTGGAGCTGTCTGATCACCATTATACTATAGTAAAGCGTATTATACTGTATATATTACACTGTGGAGCTGTCTGATCACCATTATACTATAGTAAAGCATATTATACTGTATATATTACACTGTGGAGCTGTCTGATCACCATTATACTATAGTAAAGTGTATTATACTGTATATATTACACTGTGGAGCTGTCTGATCACCATTATACTATAGTAAAGTGTATTATACTGTATATATTACACTGTGGAGCTGTCTGATCACCATCATACTATAGTAAAGTGTATTATACTGTATATATTACACTGTGGAGCTGTCTGATCACCATTATACTATAGTAAAGCGTATTATACTGTATATATTACACTGCTGAGCTGTCTGATCACCATCATACTATAGTAAAGTGTATTATACTGTATATATTACACTGTGGAGCTGTCTGATCACCATCCATACTATAGTAAAGTGTATTATACTGTATATATTACACTGTGGAGCTGTCTGATCACCATCCATACTATAGTAAAGTGTATTATACTGTATATATTACACTGCTGAGCTGTCTGATCACCATTATACTATAGCAAAGTGTATTATACTGTATATATTACACTGCTGAGCTGTCTGATCACCATCATACTATAGTAAAGTGTATTATACTGTATATATTACACTGTGGAGCTGTCTGATCACCATTATACTATAGTAAAGCGTATTATACTGTATATATTACACTGTGGAGCTGTCTGATCACCATTATACTATAGTAAAGCATATTATACTGTATATATTACACTGTGGAGCTGTCTGATCACCATTATACTATAGTAAAGTGTATTATACTGTATATATTACACTGTGGAGCTGTCTGATCACCATCATACTATAGTAAAGTGTATTATACTGTATATATTACACTGCTGAGCTGTCTGATCACCATCCATACTATAGTAAAGTGTATTATACTGTATATATTACACTGTGGAGCTGTCTGATCACCATCCATACTATAGTAAAGTGTATTATACTGTATATATTACACTGCTGAGCTGTCTGATCACCATTATACTATAGCAAAGTGTATTATACTGTATATATTACACTGCTGAGCTGTCTGATCACCATCATACTACAGTAAAGTGTATTATACTGTATATATTACACTGTGGAGCTGTCTGATCACCATCCATACTATAGTAAAGTGTGTTATACAGTATATGTTACACTGTGGAGCTGTCTGATCACCATCCATACTATAGTAAAGTGTATTATACTGTATATATTACACTGTGGAGCTGTCTGATCACCATTATACTATAGTAAAGTGTATTATACTGTATATATTACACTGCTGAGCTGTCTGATCACCATCCATACTATAGTAAAGTGTGTTATACAGTATATGTTACACTGTGGAGCTGTCTGATCACCATCATACTATAGTAAAGTGTATTATACTGTATATATTACACTGTGGAGCTGTCTGATCACCATCCATCCATATAGTAAAGTGTATTATACTGTATATATTACACTGTGGAGCTGTCTGATCACCATTATACTATAGTAAAGTGTATTATACTGTATATATTACACTGTGGAGCTGTCTGATCACCATCATACTATAGTAAAGTGTATTATACTGTATATATTACACTGCTGAGCTGTCTGATCACCATCATACTATAGTAAAGTGTATTATACTTTATATATTACACTGTGGAGCTGTCTGATCATTATTATACTATAGTAAAGTGTATTATACTGTATATATTACACTGTGGAGCTGTCTGATCACCATCATACTATAGTAAAGTGTATTATACTGTATATATTACACTGCTGAGCTGTCTGATCATTATTATACTACACTGTTAACCCTTACCGTAGATTATGCAGTAAATAACTATAAAATAGCCAGTGTTTAGCTGTAATGAAAAGAAACAGTATTTTACTGTAAAAGGAGCAGACTTTGTATTAAATTGTGTAGTGCAAATGATAAATTACAGTAACTTACTTTACGTACACATTGCAGGTAGTAACTGTGACAATAAAGGCAAATTACTGTACAACCAGAACTGTCCTATCTACTCTGATGCTTTATGTTGCTAATCATAAAGACGTGCATTTTAAAGGCAGAAAACAATGATTTAGGCATCACCAGACACTCACATAGGCTGTCTTATTCTTAACAAAAAAGT